ATGCAGTGAAAAATAGTTTACTTAAATAATGAAATTTATCAGAGGTAAAGTGAAATTTTAAATTGCTTCTTAAAGAAAGGCCACCAGAAGAAGGAGGTGTCCAAAGAAGTCTTTGTGCCATTATTTATCCTGTGATAGAAGGTGGTAATTGAGGGGGAAAAGTTCTCACTTGATTAACTGAAATAATTTTCAGCCATATTGTTATGCCTGCATTCTGATTACAGAATAATACCTTTCAGAAGTTGTTATTATAGCAGTAATGAGCCGGCAATTGAATTAAATCTGTAATCAAAAATCAGTAAGTTGTGCAATCATAACGAAAGCTGTGTAAGTTCTTTGTCCGTCGCAAGAACAGCCACAGGCCAGAGGAAAGTTGTCTTAGAAGTTACCTGAGCATTTTCACTAGTGAGTTCACTGTGCAACCTACTTCACAGTTGCTTTCACAAGCGTAAATGAGAGACAAGACAGTGGAAAATCAGGCCCTTTGCTTTCGGATCTATCTTATACCCAACTGTTCTCGGTGTAGTGTTACGCCTAGGTATCTCATCTTCTCCTTTGTTATATGAAAGAAAAAAACCATAAATGCAAAAATAATAATCCTGCTAAAATGGTGTCATTTTCAAAAGCAAAGGGGAGACAGTAACAAGGATACAAATATATTTTGAATAATCAGTACATGTTCTATTGAAGTTTGCTCCCCAATCTCCTTCATTTGACAGTTTGTGTGAAGTGACCAGTGAAGGAGCAGAGGTCAAATTCCATAACTTTTCAAACCATTGACCATTTCAAAGCCTTGACTCCCACGCTAGTCATTATCTCTACTTCTTATTGGTCTATCCTTCAGAGCCATTCAGTCTTCATTTATTTATTTAATGATTTGATTTTATTTGGGGAACTTTTGCTTCTTGGCATATTAGGTGACAATTAGAGGTTCCAAGCTTGCAGTGAAGCTCCAGGATGACATATAATCTCCCGGGGTCAGGTAGATCGTTTATCTTCCCTCTCCTTATCGAGGATATGCAGAGGTCAAATCATTTCACCTGGGGAGCTGAGATCCAACGATGGCAATCACAGGAGGTAAGGAACATGAGTACAATATCATAAAATTTATGGTACAGTTGCCAACTTCAGTGTAACATCAGCACGAAACTAGACACATAAACTGTTTTTTATGCACATCATGATTACTTCTGCTCTGCTCTGCCCCACCCCACTGGTTTTCTTTGTTTTTTATAACAGGCAAACTCTGCAATCTTGGTTAAGCTGAGCATCAGCCTACTGTACCTTTAAGAGATTTTATGATGGATCAAAAAGGTCACCTGTTGTAAATAGTGTCTATTAAAAAAATCAGGAATTCAAAACTTTGTGAAAATCTGTATGCTGAACAAAAACAAAAACAAAATAAAAAAATGCATCAGCTTATGGGATTCCACTCTACAACCAAGCACTTTTTCCTTAAGACAAATTGTCTATTTGTGTCTTGTGTTCTTGATCCATAAAACTGAACTGCTCCTAAATAACAGGTTAAAAAAAAAATGAAGGAAACGTTAACTTCCACCACTACATTCGCAAAGCCATGGTAGCTCTGGTCTGAGCAGGGGCTTGGACCAGGTGACCTCCAAAGCTCGGTCCAAGCTATTCTGTGATTCTGCAACATATTGTCAGTGGCGCTCAGTGCACAGCACGCCTGCCCTGCAGAAACAGCCCACCTGCTGGCTTGTGTAATGTGGCCATTGCAGGAACAGGGAGTGAAATGGCTTTTAATCTCTTGGCTGAGCAAGCAGACTGGTAAGACATTACCATTCAGGCTCTTCCCCCTGCTTCTCTGACAGAAACTACTGTTGTCTCTGCACCAAGAGAACTGGATGCGTGGCCACACCTCGGTCACCCCATTTCATTGTATTAACCTCATCCACTGTGAAGGCAGTCTCGTGTTAATATGCAAGGTGTGACCAGGTGTGGGTGAAGTACAGAAACTTGTCCCATTTTGCCTTCTCTGCTAAGTGGTGGCAACCTCTGTCAGAGAAAAAGGGCAGGCAGGAGTAATAACATTTGAAATTGCTACAGCTAAATCTGTCAGAGCTATTTTACAGGTCTTTGAATATCGATAGGAAGGGTAATTTCTATCCTTTGGTCCCAAAGCTGCATGCATGTTTTCTCATGGTCATCTACTGTATGTAATTCATATTTTTTTCTGATACTTGCAGTCATTTCACATGACATTTACAAGCAATTCAGTTCCAAGATATTCATCTGCATTTAACAGCAGCCAGCTGCCCTTTCTTTGGCAGATATCAGTTTGTTTGAGTTCTCCCTCTTCTGAATTCATAGTTAATTCGGTAACGCACCATAAAAATAATCTATTAATTATGACAAAATTTAAAGACTACAATCTCCCTTCTTTTATGCAAGGCAATGTAAGTACGAGGTTTCATAACTCAAAGGGATTCAGCAGGATATTCTTTCATCTTCTCAATATCTCTCTCAC